TTTCCCTCCTTTTGGGATTTTGGGCATGCACACACATATACTTGGCATGTTTCTCAAGCACCAGGTCCAGGACTCGAACCATGCAGTTGGTAATGTGATATCTGGTTGCTTTAACCACCAGGCCACTGAGCCAGCTCAAAGGTGACTTTTTTTTCCCAAAATAAATGTTTTGTGCTTTTCCCAGAGCTTTCTTATCTGAAGGAAGTGTTCCCATATGTATAACTATCTGCTTGCCTTAGTAACATTAGCATAAATATGTTTTTCAAAACACTTTAAAAAGTCTATATTTTGCTAGTTATTTTCCACTTCATATTCCAAGTTTAAAAAGTGGAAGATTACCTTGAGAAGGGCTTGTGGCCAAGACTAGGGGAGTTTTCCTAGGATCCCAGGTAAACCCACAGTCACCTGAACATTTAGCTGGAATTCCATTGACATAGACTTCAACCTGCAGACAAAGAAACAGAACTAGAGAACAGGGGTAAGGGAGAAACATGATCTGGCAGACTACGCACAGGATTTAGAACTAATAATGACATTCGGTTTGTTTTCTTGGTGGTTTACAAAAATTAGTTTGTTTATATTTTAACATTTCATTCATCTACTCATTCAGCAAATGTGCCCACCATGTGTCAGGTACAGTTATAAATGTTAGGAATATATTAATAAAACATTAATGAAAAAAGATGATACCCCTGCTGTTACCCAACTTAGATTTAAGTAGATGGGAAAGAGAGTAGCATAAAACTATAAATTTAAAAAAAGCAAATGCACATTATGCCTAGAGTTGATTAGTTCTAGGAAGAAAAATGGAAACGTCGCCTAAACTCTTTACACTTTCCTATCCTCTTTATAAATGTGGCATCATTAATAATTATGTCACAGAGTTACTGTAATGATTATAGAATATGTTCTCAAATCCCAGCAATAATAGAGCCTAAAAGTTCATAATTTTATCAGAAAGAAGAAAATTTTTCCCAAAGTCATAAAGTAATATTATTAAGTGGGTTAACTATTAACACAAATATTTACATGAAAATAGAAAAGTCAACTCTGCTGTTTGCCAGGCAGTTAGCCTATTACATTTTAATTTTGCACTTAAAATTATATCAAACATCCCGAGAAAAGTTCCAAAAAGTACCTGTGGCTGTTGGCTGGGTGTACGAAGCAGGTCTCCAAGTATGCGTTGTCTGAATAAGCCACCTTCTTTTATCTTGGTAACTGTCATATTAGCCTTTTCTCCAATAATGTTGGAATCATTAATCTATTTTCACACAAAATCATTTTACTAGAAAGGCTATAATAAATGTAACTCTAATAGTTTTTCTTTTTAAATTTAAGCATGGTGAAAGTGAATAAAAGCCAAGGGACGTAAAAAAAATTCAAAAGTCACTCTCGTCATTCCTTTTTGAAAAATGGGCCTCTTCAAAAATGAACATAATGTACTCATGAAAAGCATGCTAAGACCATTGCATTATCAAACATTGCATCATTTACAACTTAAACGACTAAATTCAATTAAAATTTTAGAATTAATGAAATAAGTCAAAAGAAAATGAATTCACTTGATTTGATACTCTCAAAATAGTCTGTGCTTTTTCTAAATATGAACATTTTGATAAATGACTATGGAATAATTAAAAAATTGAGTCTTCTTTTCACCTGATAGTCATCTTACCTCTTTGGCATATTTTTCCTATGACTATCCTGATTTTTCATCTACTCAGGAATTTTCCTTTCTTTCAGTGGTAAATATGAAACCAAATGTGAACCAGCAGTTGGCGTAGTGGCTATGTCAATGGACTCTCACGTAGTTGACCCACAGTCCGAGTCCCGGACCTGGTGACTTAACTTCACATTGGGCGCATGTGTGTGTGTGTGTGTGTCCAAGATCCGGAGAGGAGAATGGAGGAGAAGGGATTGCAGCATGACCAGTCCCCCGCGTATATATATATATATATAAAACCAAATCAAATCAATATATACAATTTGTTCATTCTAAAATCCCTTTGCCAATATGGCAACCTGCTAATGTACACAGGGACTAGCAGAGAGGTAGGAGTCTCTATGTTGAGCCATGTATGAGCCAATGGGATAAGGAACAGACATGATGAATCAGGAGAGGAGATTGGTCAGAAAAGAAAGAGTAGATGCACAGACACCGGCAGAGACATCAAGAGGGAGACCCGGTCACTAGCACTGTCTCAGTTGTGGGATTTTTTTTTTTTGAGAGGTTTTTGCTATAGGGCGCGTGCACTCGCCAGACAGACAGAGAGAGACAGAGAGATAGAAAGCAGGAAATCACCCCCCAGGGGGGATGGCTACGCCGCAATCCCTTCTCCTCCATTCTCCTCTCAGGATCTTGGGCACGCACGCACACGCGCCCGGTGTGAGTTTAAGCCACCGGGTCTGGGACTCAAACCACGGTCGAGGGAGTCCAGCGACATAGCCATTACACTAACTGCTGGTCCCCTCAGTTGTGGGATTTTCTAACCCAGTTTCAGGATGTGTTTCCTTAAAGTAACCCCCATATCTTTATGACTATTACTGTTGTGTACCTCGGACAGGCTTGTATTCTATATTTACATAAATTTTCTGTCTCCTCTTTCCTTACTTTTCTTCTTCTTCTGCAGTGGTTTAATAAACAAAGGTCTACAGTTTTTCCCAACGTTATGTCATGGGCATCTCTCCAAGAGAGTGGATGTGTTCCTACATACGGTTACATGGCAGTTACATAAGGTTATGCCTTAGACAAGTATTCGCCTACTGATGGGGATTTCGGTTTCCAGGTTTAGTATTACAAGGAATGTTGCAGTGACTACCTTTGTGCCTGTTTCATTTCACATTTATGTTATCGGGTCAGCTTTTTTATTTATAACTTACTTTGCTGAATCATAAGGTATCTATATTCAGACACTACTACGTTATCCTCCCAAAAGGTTGTACTAATTTAGACTGTCACCAACAGTGCTTGGGAGAGACTGTTTCCTCTCTGTCAGCATCAATAAAGCACCATCTCTAGTATTTGACAATCTAAGTCCCCAGGCTCTTTTATACCCTTCTTCTTCATGTACGCTGTGTCTGAACCTTCTCCCCGTTCCACACTCTAAGCTAAGGTAAGTTAATGGGTACATAAGCTATCATCCCTTATTTCTTTTTTTTTTCTTTTTTTTCTGGAGAGGTTTTTTTTGCTATAGGGCGCGTGGGCTCGCCAGACAGACAGAGAGAGACATAGAGACAGAAAGCGAGAAATCACCCCCCAGGGGGATGGTCACGCCACAATCCCTTCTCCTCCATTCTCCTCTCAGGATCTTGGGCACGCACGCACATGCGCCCGGCATGAGTTTTAAGCCACCGGGTCCGGGATGCGAACCACGGTCGACTACATGGGAGTCCAGCGACATAGCCTTTACGCTCACTGCTGGTTCCCATCCCTTATTTATTTTTTTAAAGATCACCTTTATAGTCACAAACATATCAAAGGCTCCAGAATACAACTTGGTAGTAGAATTACAGATAGTGAGGCTTATTCTCCTTGGCCCTCCCTTAAGGGAGATATGGATTTAGTTCTGTGACCATCTTCTCTCTCTCATTCCCTTTTAACATTTTGAGGGTGTAGTATTATTTTGTTAATATACATGGTATCCAATTCTTTTAGAGTAAGTCAGGGTGCAAAGAAGCAAACAACACATATAAGAAAACAGAAGTCAACCAGAAGGAAGAACCTGTAGGAGATTCTGCTTTCCACATGCGCTTTTCCACTTGATGTTCCACGAGTACCCAGCACAGGTTCCCTCTCGGGTGACAGAGACTTGTCCCATTGCTTCCAGACTCTGAAGAGCAAACTGTAAATCTGTAGCTGACACAGCAGCAGGGAGGCCTGCACTCACAGAGGGATGACAAACAGAAGGAGTAAAAAATTCACAAAACAAGTTCATCTTTAAAGTACGTGAAATACGTTCTGTGTTAACACACAGTAACCTACATGGTCTCCCCCAATATAACTAATTGAAATTTGCATCTTATTTTGCCGATAATTTACATATTTCTTGGAAACAAAATTACATGAGTAATGAACCTCAGACTGTGAGCTAGGTGCAAATATTTTTACTTTTAATATCAAGTTACTTTTTTTTTTTCAGAGAGAGATTTTTGCTATAGGGCATGTGTGTTTGCCAGAGAGACAGAGAGGCAGAAAGTAAGAAATTACACTCCAGGGGGTATGGCCACACCCCAATCCTTTGTCCTCCATTCTCCCCTCAGGATTTTGGGCATGTACACACATGCGCCTAGTGTGAGTTTTAAGCCATGAGGTCCAGGACTCGAACCTTAGTCACTACACGGGAATCCAGTGATGCCATCTGCTGGTCCCTCAAATTACTTTAAAAATTTTTTTGAAGTTTATTTTATTCATGATAGAGTGTGAGTGAGTGTGGATAAGAGAGAGCCCTTTGACAAAGTCATGTCAAGACCCCCTTTCTTCATCCCTCCAGCTTCTCAGGGTGCTGGCTAGGTGCCTGGTGTATTTTTAGGTCAACTCAGATCTGAACTTGACATTGGTTGACCATGTGGCTTCCAGCTCTGAGGTTCAATGTGCTACTGACTGCCACCAGGATGGGCTCTCAATTCCCTTTGTAGATAGCATACAAATCAGGAATATAAAAGAGAAACAAGTTTTGGGGAATATAACCTGGTATATCTGATGTGGCAGTGAATAATATAAAAAAATGTCATTTGTTCTACATAATTTGACTCTATGTTATTGATACATAATCTCAACTATATAAATTATGTAAGGAACTGCTCCTAGAAAAAAGTGCACCAAAATTATGCACATATACAATTTAAATAATTTTGTAGTTATATTTTAATAGTCAAAATCAATAGGTAAAATTATTTTAAGGAAAATTTTGTATAATCCAAGATATTAAAAATGTGGTGCTTCAACAAATGGCATTGGTCACATTCATGTGGCGACATGTCACTACATGTGGCTCACAGCTACCAGGTTGGACAGAACAGGTCTAGATGATTCAGTTATAGTTGTTTTTGTTTGCTTGTTTTAGGTTTTTGCCATAGGGTGTGAGCTCTCACTGGAGAGAGACAGAGAAAGGAAAGTGAGACATCAACACCCCACCCCTCCCATCCCAGGGAAGGTGGCCACACCACAATCTCTTCATTCTCTTCTCTGAATTTTGGGCACACACACACACACATGCATGAGGCATAATTTTCAAGCCACTGGGACCACGACTAGAACCATAGTGGGCCATGGGAGAGTCCAGTGCCTTAACCATCATGCCACCTATTGGTCCCAAGGTTGTTTTTAAAAAAATAATATTTCAAGGCCAATAGGTGACATGATGTTTAAGGCACTGGACTCCCACATGGCCAACCACAGTTCAAGTCTTCGATGTGGTGGCTTGGTTTTTCACTTTCCCTCTTTCTCATTACATTAAAAAATAATGATAATAAACAAGGTTAAATAAATAATTATTAAATAGAACCAGCAGCTGGTGTAATGGCTATGTTGCTGAACTCCCATGTAGTCAACCACGGTTCGAGTCCTGGACCCAGTAGCTTAAACTCATGCCAGGCATGTGTGCATGCGTGTCCAAGATCCCAAGAGGAAAATGGAGAAGGGACTACGATGTGTCCATCTCCTCTAGGGGGAGTGATTTCTCTCTTTCTGTCTCTCTGTCTCTCTCTGTCTTTCTGGCAAGTGCACACACCCTATAGCAAAAACCTCTCAAAAATTATTAAATAATAATACTCCAATCCCAATTTTTGTAGTACTTTAACATTATTATTATGTTTCTGGCTACCATTGTAATGCATGCTTATTTAAGAAAATATATCTATTATGTAAAACCATGCCCAAAGAAACTGATAATTTCAACATCTTCAGAAAAATGACAAAGCATATGCTAGATATTGTCATAGATTTTTCTTATATTACTTTCAAATAAAAAGAATCATTACTAATAATGTTGACTTTGGATGAGTTCTAATCTATTAAAAGAAGCATTTAAAGCAAAAACATTATGATTGGCTATTAATCGACCATAATATGGTTTATATTAATATATGGAAAGACTTTAAAAGTCTACAGAAAAATGGAAGTAAAGTATGAATTTTTTCTGGTACAAAATATTTAAAATCCATATGTAGTTTTTTCATAGTACTTTCTAGAAACTTTTGAAGAACCCTCAGATATGCACCTGTGTGACTCGACATTTAATGTAAAAATAGTGATTTTCCAGTGAAATAACACAACATTTCATAGCACTATACAGATGTGCATGAGTATACATACTGATGTTCTGAACATTCTTCATATACCTTTGAGAATATGTCCATAAGCTTGAATGTCAAAGCTGCCACTTATAGGTGGAGATGCTTCTTGGATTCTTTGAATACGAATCTTTGACTCCCCTGGCCAATTATTTGCTCTGTACACAGACTCATTCTTGGTCTCGTTTGCAATGATCTAATTTCCAAAATAAATATTGATAACATGGTTAAACTTCACAATGGCTAACATGATTTCTATTTCACCATGGTACAATCCTGTGATGACATGACATAAATGAGCCTCATGTATTTAGGATTCTTTAGAACATTAAGGAGAGTCACATAAATCAACAAAAGCCATGCCTACAGAGCTGCAATAATGAGGCCAAAGTCAATTCTGTCATCTGTGCAGCAATCAACTGGAACCACAGTAATACCCCATTAATTCAGAATGTACCCTCCATCACTCAAGGAACAAATATTTACCAAGCAGGCACTCTGTTCAAGGTACACAGCTAATCACTATGAGAAGGCAAATAAGCACAAGATGAAATCTTGCCTATCCAAAAACTAAAAAGCTTTTTGGAGAGATAGCATTGAGGGATTTGAAACTTAACCAACAATATAAGGAAGAATATGGTCAGGACAAAGAGTGATTCAGACTCAGGAAACATTTAATGTTGAGTGGCAATTAGCAGAGACAATACATGCTGCAGATATTCATGGACTGGAACTCATAACAAAAAAGATGTGCTCCTGCTTCTCAACCCTCAGTTATCTGTTGATCTTGTAGAATTTAAATAACCCCTCCAGCACACAGAAATGAGTACATAAGAGCAAAAGATATATTCAAGAATGTTCATAGCAGCTTTATTCATAATAGCCCCAAACTGAAAAGAATGCAAAAGCCCATCAACATAACAGATAAATTGTGATATATTAACGCCATGGAATACTTTATAGCAATGTAGAATAAAAGACTTCCGCTACAAGCAGCAACATGAATTTCACGATATTGAATAAGAGGAGGTAAATATAAATTAGTACATATTATAGGATTCCATTGATGTGAAGTTTCAAAACAGCCAAAATGAGTTAGTGCTGGTGAAAATGAAAATAGTGGTTATCTAAGGGTAAAGAGTGAGTAGTGTAATGACAAGGACTAAGGAATGAAGGAGGTTCTTAGGGAGCTAATGATTTTCTTCATCTTCATCTGGATTTTAATTACATAAATGTATTTACTTTCTAAAAATTTACTGAGCTCAGCAAGATTTTAGGATACAAAATCCCAATCACATTTCTATGTATAAATAACATGGGGGATAATTTCTTACTTTCCATTTCTGTCTCTCTTGGGTGAGTGCACATACCATATGTTAAACTTTAAAACAAACAAACAACAATGAATCATCCAAACTCAAATGCTCAGAATGTTGAAACTAACACAAATTCTAGGCTTACCTTTCCAAAGCTCACAGCCATCATGGGTATATTGCAACTGCAATTATATGAAGTCATGGTGACAGAATATTGGTTTGTGATAGTTGACCCATTAACTTTGGTCTGATTCACCTGGAAGTGCTTTAAAAATATTCCTTTATTTGCTAATGCTGGAAGTCTTCTCTTTGGCAGGTCTAAAGAACATAAATGAAGTAAATGGTAAATAAAACTTCATACCTTCCACTGCTAAGAAGAAAACTATCAGGGGCCTAGTGGTCAAGGAAGCTGGGTCCCACATGACTAACCAAGTGATTCAAATCCTGGCCCTGACAACTTGCAAAACATATTAGGCACTTGTGCATGTGTACCCCAAATACAAATAGGATGGAATAATGGAGGAAAATTACAGGGTGACTGCATCCCACTGAGATGTACTTTCTCCATCTCTTGTACTCTCTCTCTCTCTTATCTCTGGTAAGTGCTCATACCATCTAGTGCTTAAAAAAAAAAATCAGATTCCAAAAAAGTCTGTGGAAGGTAAATTAAAGTACACGTTTATTTTGGTTTGAAAAGTTTTGAAATCCACACATAGCTTTTTCATAATATACATTTTCTGTAAGCTTTTTGAAGTTCATGTAATATTAATATGTCATGGAACCAATGATTTAAAATAAAATTTAGAAAGACTTTAAGACAAGTAATTTGTGAAGCTTGGTAAATGTTCACTTCTGGAATAGAAAGCTTTAATGTCTTTGACATAAGAGCCTCATTAGGTAAAACCAAATACTTAAAAGTGACCAAGTCCTGGATTCCATGGGCCCATTAGCTTTGCTCTATCTGTGCCCCCTGTTCACAGTCCTCACTGTGTTTGTACTGCATAAAAGCAGGACGAGGACTGACTTGTCTACTGCTCTGTCCTTAGTACCCACCCAACACAGTGCCAACCACATGGTAGGTACCAAACGAATGCTGCTTAATGAACTGCAACAATTACCCCTGCAAAATTCAGCTGCCTTAAACAATGAAAATGTGTTCCACCAATTTATAGCAATGTAGAATAAAAGACTTCCGCTACAAGCAGCAACATGAATTTCACGATATTGAATAAGAGGAGGTAAATATAAATTAGTACATATTATAGGATTCCATTGATGTGAAGTTTCAAAACAGCCAAAATGAGTTAGTGCTGGTGAAAATGAAAATAGTGGTTATCTAAGGGTAAAGAGTGAGTAGTGTAATGACAAGGACTAAGGAATGAAGGAGGTTCTTAGGGAGCTAATGATTTTCTTCATCTTCATCTGGATTTTAATTACATAAATGTATTTACTTTCTAAAAATTTACTGAGCTCAGCAAGATTTTAGGATACAAAATCCCAATCACATTTCTATGTATAAATAACATGGGGGATAATTTCTTACTTTCCATTTCTGTCTCTCTTGGGTGAGTGCACATACCATATGTTAAACTTTAAAACAAACAAACAACAATGAATCATCCAAACTCAAATGCTCAGAACGTTGAAACTAACGCAAATTCTAGGCTTACCTTTCCAAAGCTCACAGCCATCATGGGTATATTGCAACTGCAATTATATGAAGTCATGGTGACAGAATATTGGTTTGTGATAGTTGACCCATTAACTTTGGTCTGATTCACCTGGAAGTGCTTTAAAAATATTCCTTTATTTGCTAATGCTGGAAGTCTTCTCTTTGGCAGGTCTAAAGAACATAAATGAAGTAAATGGTAAATAAAACTTCATACCTTCCACTGCTAAGAAGAAAACTATCAGGGGCCTAGTGGTCAAGGAAGCTGGGTCCCACATGACTAACCAAGTGATTCAAATCCTGGCCCTGACAACTTGCAAAACATATTAGGCACTTGTGCATGTGTACCCCAAATACAAATAGGATGGAATAATGGAGGAAAATTACAGGGTGACTGCATCCCACTGAGATGTACTTTCTCCATCTCTTGTACTCTCTCTCTCTTATCTCTGGTAAGTGCTCATACCATCTAGTGCTTAAAAAAAAAAATCAGATTCCAAAAAAGTCTGTGGAAGGTAAATTAAAGTACACGTTTATTTTGGTTTGAAAAGTTTTGAAATCCACACATAGCTTTTTCATAATATACATTTTCTGTAAGCTTTTTGAAGTTCATGTAATATTAATATGTCATGGAACCAATGATTTAAAATAAAATTTAGAAAGACTTTAAGACAAGTAATTTGTGAAGCTTGGTAAATGTTCACTTCTGGAATAGAAAGCTTTAATGTCTTTGACATAAGAGCCTCATTAGGTAAAACCAAATACTTAAAAGTGACCAAGTCCTGGATTCCATGGGCCCATTAGCTTTGCTCTATCTGTGCCCCCTGTCCACAGTCCTCACTGTGTTTGTACTGCATAAAAGCAGGACGAGGACTGACTTGTCTACTGCTCTGTCCTTAGTACCCACCCAACACAGTGCCAACCACATGGTAGGTACCAAACGAATGCTGCTTAATGAACTGCAACAATTACCCCTGCAAAATTCAGCTGCCTTAAACAATGAAAATGTGTTCCACCAATCAAAATGTAAGGTCCAGTAAGAAGAGATTTAAAGGAATGACTTGAGTCATTTAGTTTTAGGTGCATTAATTCATGACATCGCCTTTGAAAATGGTTCCAAAGGAAAAGATTTCAACACTGAAAAATGGGAAGAGACATTTTGCAAGGCATTTTGCAAGACATTTTGCATTGGCATCAATTGATTTTTTAAAAAACAAAATCACAGAGTTTGATTTTTATTATTTTACTATCTGATCTCATATATATCTGACTTCATTAATATGATCAGAAAAATAAAAACAAGACTAAAAAAGTAGTGCTTTTACTTTTAGCATTATTATCACTCTTAAATTCATAGAAAGTTTCTGCTCAACCTTGCTAGAAGTCAATGTCAGTGGTTGGATTTTAGTATCCGATCTCCCTCTTTGTAGTTGGTATCTCGAAGTTAGAACAAAGGAAATTGAAAATGTTTGCTGTAGTTCATTTATCTCTAAACAAAATCTAGGACTATAAACTATTATTGTTGTAATGATAAATTTTACATTAAGGATACATTTATCCTTAAAATAATCATCTTACCTGTTTACTAAAAAATAAAGGTAAATCATAATATTGAGATGAACAACTCATTAAATACTTAAGAGATTAATGTTCTTATTTATACTACAGAATTCAAAAATAATGTCCATGGTAAGAGTTTTACTGAAGATTTAGAAAATTACAGTAGGTAAAAAATGATCCAATATACCATTCAATGTTGAGATTGTAGGTGTCTGCCCAATGTATACTGCATCCACATAGAAGGACTGTGATTCTGATGCTCTCTGTAAACTAATCCTCTGAAGGAAAAAATCTGTCCCAGCGTATTTGGTTTGTATGAGATCCAGAAGGTCTATGCAAGTGTAGGTCCAGCTGAAATATAGTCGGTTAATGTGTAATACATCAGTTATGTTCACTGGAAACAAATACACCATAAGAAAACAGAATTTTAAAGAGTAAAAGTTTTCTCTTTTCTCCACAAGCACACCATCAAGTGTAAGTTATTAGCACCAAAATGCAGCACAGGGCATTGCCAGCAGAAACTTCCATTGGCAGTAAAAGATGTCAAGATCCAAACAGATGTGTTTTCTATTATTTGTAGCCTTGGCAGTAGCCATAGTAATGTAAAATAACATGTGTAACAAGGAAGGAAACAAAGTAGCACACACCTGGTACATCACAAAATGTGCCCGGGAGAACATTAACAAAAACAATACTCAAGAATGAGGTCAACTCCATTAGGAAAGAATGTCAGGGACACTACAATAAATTCAGTCCAACCCTGAAAAGCAAAACTGGAACTCAATATTAACTTCTAGAGGAGCTCACTGAAGTATCTTGTCCACTACTGAAATGACAAAAGCTGCTAAGTTACTTATAAATATAAATGGTTGCATGCCACCTTTAAATGTACAACTTAGTTATTAAAATATTTACTACACTGAAATCCCATAAATTATAATTAAGTAATTAAGCTAGGAGAATCTGTAACAAAGAGAAAAGTACTGCCATCCAAACAATAATATATAGCTTAACACTAATCTTCACATCAGCTATGATTGTATTGATAGTTAATAACCAACTGATACATGTACTCATCTAAGTGGACTGTGGGACCTACACAAAAGCATATCTACAAATACCCACTGAAAGCAGAAGATTTCACTTGGCCTTGATTGGTAATCAATTTAATGAGAGAACCCTATTCTTCTTAAAAACCATGATATTCTCAGTGAAATGTCTTATAACATTTAGGGTAAAGAAAACTCATTGGCTTCATCAAATGTTATGCATCTTCAAATAACTGCACAGCAGAATAACTGCAAGGACAGACCTATGTACTGATGTGGTAAGTGATGACTTGATTAATATGGAAGAACTGGTATCTGTAAGGATGTTCCAAAATCTTGCGGCAGTGGAGAGGCTAAAGGTATACGGGTGGTGGCATGAAATGAAAATTTTGATTCTACTGTTCAGTTTGAACATGCAGCACCGTTGTAGGAAAGTGTACTTTCAGATGTCCCTTCAAGAAGGACTTCCACTTCACAATGATCCATCATGAAATTACTACAACTTGAAGCAAACTGGGCATGCATTAGTGGCATGCAATCATCCTATTCATAGACTTTTAAGCTGTGTAGTGGCCTCGAAGACATATATTTCACTGGGGTAATCAATACATTTTAAAATACTAATATCTACCTATGTCTATTTTCTTCATATTTTGCATAAAACAAAAAATGGATCTAATGTTTTAAAAATGCCAAATCTGTGGGAAAATCGCACACACAGGAGTCTTAGGTGTTTAATCAACTGCAATCGGGGGTTAAATTTGGAAAGTCAGACAAAAGACATTTCTTAAACGTCTGTTCAAAAACATCTACCCTTTTTTTTGGGGGGGTGGATTTGACTGCTTATTTTAAGTTTTCATTAAAAACAACCCACGCATGTCCTGCACCTCTCTCAGAGGACACTGTCCTGTACTTCCAGGTAAACAGCCTGCATACAATGTCCTCTCTCATTTGACATCCACTTCAAGTTCTACCCAACTTCAGTGTCTAATAAACTTTCTGATTTGTGTAATATTTTTCTTTCTTTAGACCCTAAGTGAACATGTGTAGATCTTATTCCTGAGGCAAGACCCTCCTCCCCAAAATCATTGTCTTTTTAATATTTATCAATCTAAAGATACCAGCATCTGAATTTGTGTGTCCTAAAGAATTCTTTGAAATACTTAATGTCCTTATTGAAGATTTTCTCTCTGATAATACCTGTTGGATTACTCTATTTGAACTGTGGCTGTCTCCCTCATGGCTAAAGAGATTCTGACACCAGCATTTAAACTTGGTCTCCAGCTGCTCCCATTGTATTCATTGATCAGAGCACCTGAAGGGCATTAGGTTGACATGCTCAGGATATACCAGGGACAACTCATCAAATATGATGTCTTATTTTGAAAACTGAAAACTATTACTTCTCTTATTTTCTTTCTTTCTTTTTTTTTTCTTTTTTGGAGAGGTTTTTGCTATAGGGCGTGTGCGCTTGCCAGAAAGCAAGAAATCACCACCCAGGGGGATGGCCACACTGCAATCTCTTCTCCTCTATTTTCCTCTTGGGATCTTGGGCACTCATGCACATGTGCCCAGCAAGAGTTTAAGCCACTGGGTCTGGGACTCGAACCACAGTCAACTACATGGGAGTCCAGCGACATAGCCATTATGCCATCTGCTGCTCCCAACTTCTCTTATTATCTATTTTTTTTGAGAAGTTTTTGCTATAGGGTGCATGCGCCCACCAGACAGACAGAGAGAGGCAGAGAGAATTCTCCTCTCGGGATCTTGGGCATGTACGCACACGCACCTGGCGTGAGTTTAAGCCACCGGGTCCAGGACTCGACCCGTGGTCGACTACATGGGAGTCCAGCGACATAGCCATTACGCAAACTGCTGGTCCCTTCTCTTATTTTCTTAACCTAAGGTAGTCTTACTTTCATGAGAAAGAAAACTACATGCTTGCAAAACCTGTTAAAAAGTTCCAGATAAAAGGTGGGTTTCAGTGTGGGTAGGAGCATATTTAGGACACCTGTGTGTAGCCCTAAAGGTGTCAACTGACTGGTATGTTTCTCCCAACATGCATAATCCCATCCTTGGTACTGTTCCTGTCACTGCCCAGTGAATACATCTTGTTTCCTCCTGACAGAGCTGGGACCTTGGCTCCACTGGACCTTGGCTCCACCAGGCTCTCACATTGGCTATCTCACACTTCATCCTTTTTGCCCAATCCATTGAAGATCCATCTAAATCCTTTTCAAGGGGCCAGCAGGTGGCATGGTGGTTAAGGCACTGGCTTCCTACATGGTCGACTGCCATTAGAGAACTAGACCTGGTGGCTTGAAACTCACACCAGGTGCACGTGTGTGCATGCTCAAAATCCTGAGAGAAGAATGGAGAAGGGATTGTGGCATGGCCATCCTCCCTTGGAGGGGTGGGAGAGAAGGGATTGTGGCATGGCCACCCTCCCTTGGAGGGGTGGGAAGGGGATAATTTCTCACTTTCTGTCTCTCTGTATCTCTTTGTCTCTCCGGCAAGTGCACATGTCCTATAGCAAAAATTTCTCAAAACAACTAAATAAATAATTAATAAATAAATCAGTTTCAAAAATAAAAAAAGCCTCCCTTTCCAATCCAATATTTTTCAGTAAATCTCAGAGTACACACATTTCTAAAGGCATGAATTAGAAGTTGGCATTTTGAAAATAGTGTCAAGATGATGTAGAACATAGGACACTTAAAATTACAGGGCTGGGCAGCAGTTCTTTACCAGAATCTTCATCCAGAAACTAATCTGCCCACCAAACTGACTCTTCCCATCTCACTATTCCACTCTCTCTTCTCTTGACTTTAAAAAAAATCTTATCTTTGTTTGGTTTTGTTTATAGTTAGCAAGGCGTCATATTTAAAACTTCAGGTCAGTCTCCTGCCTTCTCTGTGTGAGCGTGTGATTCTGCCCCACTTAGGCTCCACACATGGCAGTTCTGAGCAATCATGGTCCCATTCCTAAGATAAGAATGGAAGCATTCTCCTACATATTAAAAAATGATGGAACTTTAAATGACACGTGTTAAAGTATGATGCATACTCTATACAAAATAAAGGAAATGTTGATTTGGCTATGACAGAAAAAAATATTACAAATCTTATCAAGATATGGGGATTATACCACGGTTATTTTTAAATGACATAAATTTTATATAAAAGGGAAAACTTCAGGCCAGCTTGTGGCCCTGGGATTACCTGAGTTGGATCCCACATGGCAGACTATGCTGTTTGAATCCAGACCCAGTAGGCTCAAACACATGAAATTATAAAATAAATTTAAGAATAAAATAAAATAGAAAAACAAAACAAAACATGCTGGGCACATGTGAGTACATGTTCAAAATTACAAAAGAAGGGAGAAATAGAGAAGGGATAGCTACATGACTGTACCCATGGGGGGGAGGGGTGTGCTTTCTCACTTATCCTCTCTCTTCCTCTCTTTCTGTCTCTCTCAGACAGGCACATGCATCCTCTGACCAAAAGAACAAAAAGGGGGGGAGATTTTTTAAATTGTAAAGGGGATGGTTACAAGGCTGTATATATATATATTTGTTAAAATTCACTAAATTGAGGGACCAGCAGGTGGTGTGGTGGTTAAGGTGCTGGACACTCCCACATGGCTGACCATGGTTTGAGTCCTGAACCTGGTGGCTTGCTTTCTCACTTTTCCTCTCTCTCTCTCTCTCTTTCTCTATCTCTGTATGTGTGTTCTCTCTGGTCAAATTAAAATATAAAAATGAATGAATAAATTAAATAAAATAAAATAATTTTTTAAAGAATTCACTAAATTGATGGGGCCAGCAGCTGGCATGGTGATTAAGGCATTTGATTCCCACATGGTCAATCACAATTCGAGTCCCAGACCTGGTGGCTTGCTTTCTAACTTTTCCTTTCTCTCTTTTTCTTTCTGTCTCTCTGTGGTCAAATTAAAAATAAGTAAATTAATTAAATTAAATAAATAATTTTTTAAAATAAAAATGTCACTGAATCAGGACCAGCAGATTGCATAATGGTTACGCTGCTGGACTCCTATGTAGTCAACCACAGTTCAAGTTATGGGCCTGGAAGCTTAAAACTCATGCCAGGTGCAGGTGCGTATGCATTCCCAAAATCCTGAGAGGAGTATGGAGGAGAAGGGATCACAATGTGGCCATCCCCTCTCAGGGGGGATTTCTTGATTTCTGTTTCTGTGTCTCTGTCTCTCTGGAGAGCTCATGCATCCTATAGCAAAAAACTCTCTTTAAAAAAAAGTTCACTTAATCGTGTGCTTAAGTTATAAATTTTACTTTATGTAAATTATACCTCTATATACATGACTAAAATTTATAGTAAATACTCTGTAAAATAGAAAAGTTGTGTGTGAATGTCTTTCTTTTTCTATTGCAAATGAAATTTTTGCATGTATTACAAATGAAAATGCTAAGATGGGATTGATACAATTTCAGAAGATATAATAATTAATAAGAACCAAGAAATAGTCATACAGAATAGAATTATGCTTAAGGAAATGACAATTACAATCACTAAGTTAACTTTCTCTGTACTCCTTTAGTTTCTCCTGTTAGATTTCTTTAGTTGGGTGTTGGTATTGGATGCTGGCAAAGCAAATATCATTTCAAAATACTGTCCCTTCTTTAATTTTGGTATAATCGTCAATGGTTTATTTTCTCTACTAACATTCAGTTAGCACTTTTTGTCAGTGATCAAAGTCTAATGACAAGATTGTGATAAGTCAGTTTCTTCCTTCCTTCTCTCAGCAACTAGGAACAGTTTCAGCTGTCATAGTATATAATTTAAACTCCCAAGTTTACTACGTTTTTATCTTTTAAATAAATGGTCATGAGTGATGATGACACTGGATCAATTTTATGTCTCATGATAGATATATTTCTTTTTGACATAGCTATTTCTGTTACAGGAAGCATATGAAGAAACCAGGAAAACTACAGTTAGATTCACTGTGCATGAGATATACCCCCCAAAACAAAACAAAACAAAACAAAACAAAAAACCCCAAGGCATGAGTTTGTTGTAGCTTCATAATGTATATGCATAATATAATTTTTTTCAAATTTGTAGTTGACTTACCTGTTTCCATAAACAAAGATATATGGAAATTTTGCTTCAGTGCTTCTAGTAATCTTGCCATTGCCTTGATACCAGAATTTTAAACCAATATAATTTGCTAGAAATCCTTTGTATGCTAGGCAAAACTACATGAAAAAATAGGAAAAAAAGATCAGTAACAATATATTGCTATTAAACTATTCTGTAACAATTCAAATTAATTTGATCCATTTTAATAAATATTTATTAAGTGCTTTCTTTATAAAGTGTACCAGAACACAGAGAAAAGAAGGATTAATTTCAGTCAGTTAGCTGTAAAAGAATTGGGGAAGATTTTATAGATGAGGAAGTGGAATGGCAGAGTCGAAGTGACCTTATAATTAATGATTAATTCTTCACTGTTTTCTTAGGTATAATTTCCTTTGTAAATGGAGATCATTCACTCCCCATGGAGATGAGCGATGAACTAACTCTAACTAAACTATTCAGCATATTTTAAATCCCAGTGCGTGTACAGAGAGAAGAGAGCTAAACATTCAGGTAGATTAATTGGGATGTGATTGCAAGACAATGTTTAGAGCTAGAGATAAATGTCACTGTAAAATAGTAATTAAATATATATTTTAATAAGCAACAACCCCTTAAATGTACCAACTGCATTAAGAACTTAGAACTTTAGAAGATATGTCTCAATTTGAGAATTTTAGAACAAGAGAAAGGATAATTTTATGACTACTAGTCTTAAATTGCTATACTAAAACTGCCACTTCCTCTGCTCATGGTTTTCTTTCATTCTTTCCTGATTTGATATTCAAGATTATGCTATGATGACAATCCATTTTTGTCTCTTCTAATGAGTGAATAAAATGGATCAGATTACATATTTACAACTGTTTTCATATTTAAATGTGTGTGCAATTTTATCTCAAGACTATAATAAAGCACTCATGACACATTATGCTATATATATCTTTAATTCTTTCTTTTCTTTTTCTCTCTTTCTCTTTCTCTTGCTTTCTTTCTCTCTCTTTTTTTTCTTCTGTAACGTAAGTGGAAATCACAAGCACCCAGAATATGACCCGCAGTGCCTGTCCAACATGATATGATTTCACATGGCAGGCACTTTTCCTTGTCTTAAAATTCCATGAAATTTTACTACCGAGGTATTTTCCACATTCAATTAGCATATCATTTTGTAGAGTTTACCTGATTATAAGGAAATAATAAAATGTCTCCATATGGTGGTCTGTTTGGTTTAACATCTGCTGAGTCAAAAAGGACAGCTGGGTTTTTCAGGGAATAGCGACCACAGTAAGCATCGGTTTCAGCTGTCTTCTGCCCTCTATTAACAAGTTCCTATGGAAGCAATAATATTTCAGACGAAAATACGTGATTTATTGTCCCAATTTTCCCAACGCCTCCACCCAAACTGTTCAATGTCCAACTCAGCTCCCAGTGTGTTGCAAAGCATTTTGTCTTGAAATATTCTCTCCCTCCTCTGAAATTCTGAAGCTCTCATTTGGATCCCTATTTGCCAAGTCTTCTCTCTCTTTTTTTTTTTTTCTTGTTTTATGAGCTCTTTAAGGATATCTGTTCATTCTTCCCATGAATATTTATTCAGTGCTTACTGTGTGCCAAGTTTTGTTTGTTTGCCTTTCTTAATCTCCAGGATTCAAATTATGAAGAACGCTAGCCTTACACATAGGGGCCACCAGTCTAGGACAAAGGAACTAGTGATTACAATAATCAGGCTGAAGGGAGGCATCTGACAACTCACATAAAAATATCAAAAAGCAAAAAAGAAGGCTCAGAAGAAGTGACAAATCAGTTATATCTTAGAAAATAAATAGGAGTTGTGCAAATGAGAAAATAGAGCCAAGGGGTTTTAAGAGAGGGGGTGAAATTTGTGTTAAAAAAAAAAAAA